GAGATCCAGGTCAGTGCCTCCGAGGGTGGGAGGGGGTAGCTGTGCACAAGGTGATGATTGGCTGCCACCACGTGCTCTGCGGGTGCTGACATCACCAGGAACCGGCGCAGGTCATGTGACCCGGAACCCCTCGTAACGGGAGGGTGGGAACCCCTCATAATGGGCACAGGGAGGGTGGGAACCCCCTCATAATGGGCACAGGGAGGGCGGGAACCCCTCATAATGGGCACAGGGAGGGCGGGAACCCCTCATAATGGGCACAGGGAGGGCGGGAACCCCCTCATAATGGGCACAGGGAGGGCGGGAACCCCCTCATGATGGGCACAGGGAGGGCGGGAACCCCCTCATGATGGGCACAGGGAGGGCGGGAACCCCTCATGATGGGCACAGGGAGGGCGGGAACCCCTCATGATGGGCACAGGGAGGGCGGGAACCCCTCATGATGGGCACAGGGAGGGCGGGAACCCCTCATAATGGGCACAGGGAGGGCGGGAACCCCTCATAATGGGCACAGCGGGGGTACAGACCTTCTGGCAGTTGAGCGCTTTCATTGATCCGGGATTCACCTTCAGTTTGGGGTTTCTTCTATGACCCGGAGTCCGCTCTCAGCCCCCCCCCGGGTCGTATTTCCCGATCGCTCAGATAGCGGGCGTGGCTGTGAAGTCGATCTGACGGAGACGAGGTCTCTGGATTTTGCCTTACAAATCCGTTTTGCATGAGAATTTGTTTGGCTCGATGAAGATATTTAAATTGTCACATCAGATGAACGTTCGATGAGCTGCTCCTGGGGGACCGATCCCTCCAATGGGAGATTGTATGATGGAGATGGTGATTGGACGATTCGGGTTGCGGGAGTGGCGATTGGACGATTCGGGTTCCGGGAGTGGCGATTGGACGATTCGGGTTCCGGGAGTGGCGATTGGACGATTCGGGTTCCGGGAGTGGCGATTGGACGGTTCGGGTTCCGGGAGTGGCGATTGGACGATTCGGGTTCCGGGAGTGGCGATTGGACGCTTCGGGTTCATGGAGTGGCGATTGGAGGATTCGGGTTGCGGGAGTGGCGATTGGACGGTTCGGGTTCCGGGAGTGGCGATTGGACGCTTCGGGTTCATGGAGTGGCGATTGGAGGATTCGGGTTCATGGAGTGGCGATTGGAGGATTCGGGTTCATGGAGTGGCGATTGGACGCTTCGGGTTCATGGAGTGGCGATTGGACGGTTCGGAGTGGCGATGGTTGCGGGAGTGGCGATTGGACGGTTCGGGTTGCGGGAGTGGCGATTGGACGGTTCGGGTTGCGGGAGTGGCGATTGGACGGTTCGGGTTGCGGGAGTGGCGATTGGACGGTTCGGGTTGCGGGAGTGGCGATTGGACGGTTCGGGTTGCGGGAGTGGCGATTGGACGGTTCGGGTTGCGGGAGTGGCGATTGGACGGTTCGGGTTGCGGGAGTGGCGATTGGACGGTTCGGGTTGCGGGAGTGGCGATTGGACGGTTCGGGTTGCGGGAGTGGCGATTGGACGGTTCGGGTTGCGGCGGGAGTGGCGATTGGACGGTTCGGGTTGCGGGAGTGGCGATTGGACGGTTCGGGTTCATGGAGTGGCGATTGGACGGTTCGGGTTCATGGAGTGGCGATTGGACGATTCGGGTTCATGGAGTGGCGATTGGACGATTCGGGTTGCGGGAGTGGCGCGATTGGACGCTTCGGGTTCATGGAGTGGCGATTGGAGGATTCGGGTTCATGGAGTGGCGATTGGACGCTTCGGGTTCATGGAGTGGCGATTGGACGGTTCGGGTTGCGGGAGTGGCGATTGGACGGTTCGGGTTGCGGGAGTGGCGATTGGACGGTTCGGGTTGCGGGAGTGGCGATTGGACGGTTCGGGTTGCGGGAGTGGCGATTGGACGGTTCGGGTTGCGGGAGTGGCGATTGGAGGATTCGGGTTCATGGAGTGGCGATTGGAGGATTCGGGTTCATGGAGTGGCGATTGGACGGTTCGGGTTGCGGGAGTGGCGATTGGACGGTTCGGGTTGCGGGAGTGGCGATTGGACGGTTCGGGTTGCGGGAGTGGCGATTGGACGGTTCGGGTTGCGGGAGTGGCGATTGGACGGTTCGGGTTGCGGGAGTGGCGATTGGACGGTTCGGGTTGCGGGAGTGGCGATTGGACGGTTCGGGTTCATGGAGTGGCGATTGGACGGTTCGGGTTCATGGAGTGGCGATTGGACGCTTCGGGTTCATGGAGTGGCGATTGGAGGATTCGGGTTGCGGGAGTGGCGATTGGACGCTTCGGGTTCATGGAGTGGCGATTGGACGCTTCGGGTTCATGGAGTGGCGATTGGACGGTTCGGGTTGCGGGAGTGGCGATTGGACGGTTCGGGTTGCGGGAGTGGCGATTGGACGGTTCGGGTTGCGGGAGTGGCGATTGGACGGTTCGGGTTGCGGGAGTGGCGATTGGACGGTTCGGGTTGCGGGAGTGGCGATTGGACGGTTCGGGTTGCGATGGGGAGTGGCGATTGGACGGTTCGGGTTGCGGGAGTGGCGATTGGACGGTTCGGGTTGCGGGGGGGAGTGGCGATTGGAGGATTCGGGTTGCGGGAGTGGCGATTGGAGGATTCGGGTTGCGGGAGTGGCGATTGGAGGATTCGGGTTCATGGAGTGGCGATTGGAGGATTCGGGTTGCGGGAGTGGCGATTGGAGGATTCGGGTTCATGGAGTGGCGATTGGAGGATTCGGGTTGCGGGAGTGGCGATTGGACGCTTCGGGTTCATGGAGTGGCGATTGGACGCTTCGGGTTCATGGAGTGGCGATTGGACGCTTCGGGTTCATGGAGTGGCGATTGGACGCTTCGGGTTGCGGGAGTGGCGATTGGACGGTTCGGGTTGCGGGGAGTGGCGATTGGACGGTTCGGGTTGCGGGAGTGGCGATTGGACGGTTCGGGTTGCGGGAGTGGCGATTGGACGGTTCGGGTTGCGGGAGTGGCGATTGGACGGTTCGGGTTGCGGGAGTGGCGATTGGAGGATTCGGGTTCATGGAGTGGCGATTGGAGGATTCGGGTTGCGGGAGTGGCGATTGGAGGATTCGGGTTCATGGAGTGGCGATTGGAGGATTCGGGTTGCGGGAGTGGCGATTGGACGCTTCGGGTTCATGGAGTGGCGATTGGACGCTTCGGGTTCATGGAGTGGCGATTGGACGCTTCGGGTTCATGGAGTGGCGATTGGAGGATTCGGGTTGCGGGAGTGGCGATTGGACGCTTCGGGTTGCGGGAGTGGCGATTGGACGCTTCGGGTTGCGGGAGTGGCGATTGGACGCTTCGGGTTGCGGGAGTGGCGATTGGACGCTTCGGGTTGCGGGAGTGGCGATTGGACGCTTCGGGTTGCGGGAGTGGCGATTGGACGCTTCGGGTTGCGGGAGTGGCGATTGGACGCTTCGGGTTGCGGGAGTGGCGATTGGACGCTTCGGGTTGCGGGAGTGGCGATTGGACGCTTCGGGTTGCGGGAGTGGCGATTGGACGCTTCGGGTTGCGGGAGTGGCGATTGGACGCTTCGGGTTGCGGGAGTGGCGATTGGACGCTTCGGGTTGCGGGAGTGGCGATTGGACGCTTCGGGTTGCGGGAGTGGCGATTGGAGGATTCGGGTTCATGGAGTGGCGATTGGACGCTTCGGGTTCCGGGAGTGGCGATTGGACGCTTCGGGTTCATGGAGTGGCGATTGGAGGATTCGGGTTGCGGGGTAATCGGTCGGTTTATATTGTCTCTCGGTTCCTATAGACACTTATCAAAGCTGAACTCCACCAAAAACTTTTATTGAAATATTTTATTTTTTTATCTGTCCCTCAATAGCCACAAACGACATAAATCCTCTCCGTGTCCAATAAACACTTTGGCCAACCCAGATATTACCTTGTAAAAGTAGCAGTGACATCATCACTGGGCTGTACATAGCCTAAGCAGATCTGTGGGAGGGACTAGGCAGGCTCCACCCACTACAGAAGGGGGCGGAGACGAGACCAGTCACCCTGCACAAGGAGAGAGCAGAGAGCTGTGGGAGGGGCCAGTTGTCTCTATTGGGGAGCTTTACTAAAACTGGAGCCCCCCCCCAAACCTGGTACTGCAGCCAATCGGCTTCAAAGCTGTTCAGTGAAGCCTTGGCAATAAATCCTGGAAGCTGATTGGCTGCTGGCAGCTACACCAGTTTTAGTAAATCTCCTTCTTGTGTCTCCATAAGATTTTCCTGTTCTGGTGACAACTAACATTTTGGATTTCCCAACACTTTCTATATCTGTGGTCATCAAAATGGGGGAGGGGGTGGTGTGGGGGGAAGAGCAGTCAGGGAGGGGAGGTGGGAGGAGGAGTTGGGGGGGGGGGGGTGGGAGTTAGGGGGCATGGGAGGAGGAGTTGGGGGGGGGGGGGGCATGGGAGGAGGAGTTGGGGGGGGGGGGGGGCATGGGAGGAGGAGTCGAGGGGGGGGGGTGGTATGGGAGGAGGAGTTGTGGGGGGTGGTATGGGAGGAGTCGAGGGGGGGTATGGGAGGAGGAGTCGAGGGGGGGTGGTATGGGAGGAGGAGTTGGGGGGTGTATGGGAGGAGTCAGGGGTGGGGGGTGGTAGGAGGGTGGGGTGGGGTGGAGGAGGTGGGGTGGAGTGGAAGGAGGAGTTGGGGGTGGGGTATGGGAGAAGGGGGGTGGGCACAGGAGGAGTCGGGGGGTTATGGGAGGAGGAGTTGGGAGTGTGGCAGGAGTCGGGGGGGGGGGGGGGGGGGGGGGGTGGGGTATGGGAGGGAGGAGTCGTGGGTGGGGTATGGGAGGAGGAGTCGTGGGTGGGGTATGGGAGGAGTCGTAAGGGGGGGTGGGCGGTAGAGGAGTCGGGGGGGGTTATGGGAGGAGGGAGTCGGGGGGCGGGGCACACAACCTGGTACAGGTCCTGACCTCTTCGTTGTCCCCCTTCCCCCGGGCCCCTTCTCCCGGTGTTGGTTGGATGGATTTGTCGGTTAGATTTCCTCTCTTCTCTCTTCCAGAGGCGGATAAGATCCCGGTGATGCGAGGACAATGGTTCATCGATGGCACTTGGCAGCAGCCGCTGGATGAAGACGAAGGTAACTCGATTGAACAGGAACATCTGAAGTGCTTCCGGGGTCAGCAGATGCACGACAACTTCGACCTGGAGGTGGCCAAGCCGGTGGACCACAAGGATGGTGAGAGACGTTTCCCCGCCGCTCCGTGTCCATCGTATCGGAAAGAACTCGGCTGGAGTCCAATCCTCCATAGGATGATAATGGATCTGGTGGGGGAGCGGGGGGGATTGTATTGGTTGGGCCAGACTAGGGAACCTATCAGCAGAGATCTGGCCAATCGAGAGAGAAGAACCCATCTGGTGATCTATCCCTCCAGCTGAAGGTCCAATTTACACAGACTGACCTTCAGAAACTCTAATCTCGATTGGTCCCTTTAGAGAGCCAATCAGGACGGGGCATACACTGTGCTGCTAGTGACGGGGTTGTATTGTGAAGGAAATGTGTATTTGCCCCCCCCCCCTGATGCTGAATGTTCGCCCCTCACACAGAAATGATCGGTCTAACAATGGAATGTTCGCCCCTCACACAGAAATGATCGGTCTAACAATGGAATGTTCGCCCCTCACACAGAAACAATCGGTCTAACAATGGAATGTTCGCCCCTCACACAGAAACGATCGGTCTAACAATGGAATGTTCACCCCTCACACAGAAATGATCGGTCTAACAATGGAATGTTCGGTGTAACACTGAGAGACAGAATACAACAACAAATTCAGCAGAAATGCGTCTAACAAATGATGACGGATCTGCATGTTCATGAGGGAAAGAAGGATTTGATCTCCTATCATTCAGCAGGATTTCTGGCTCCCAGGTGTCTCTCATACAGGTAACAAGCTGAGATTAGAAGCAGTCTATTAAAGGGAGTGCTGCTAATCTCATTGTGTTACCTGTATAACAGACACCTGTCCACAGGAGCCATCAAACCATCAGATTCCAAACTCTCCACCATGGCAAAGACCAAAGAGCTGTCCAAGGATGTCAGGGACAAGATGGTAGACCTACACAAGGCTGGACTGGGCTACCAAACTATGGCCAAGCAGCTTGGTGAGAAGGTGACAACAGTTGGTGCAATCATTCACAAATGGAAGAAACACAAAACAAGTGTCAGTCTCCCTAGGTCTGGTGCACCATGCAAGATCTCACCTCGTGGAGTGTCAATGATCATGAGAACAGTGAGGAATCATCCCAGAACTACACGTGAGGATCTTATCAATGATCTCCAGGCAGCTGGGACCACAGTCACCAAGAAAACAATTGGTAACACACTACGCCAACAAGGACTGAAATCCTGCAGTGCCCGCACGGTCCCTCTGCTCAAGAAAGCCCATGTCCAGGCCCGTCTGAAGTCTGCCACTGAACATCTGAATGATGCCGAGGAGGACTGGTGGGAAGTGTTGTGGTCAGAGGAGACCAAAATCCAGCTCTTTGGCATTAACTCGCCGTGTTTGGAGGAGGAGGAATGCTGCCTATGACCCCAAGAACACCATCCCAACTGTGAAACGTGGTGGAAACATTCTGCTTTGGGGGTGTTTTTCTGCTAAGGGGACAGGACAACTGCACCTCATCAAAGGGATGATGGATGGGGCAATGTACCCTCAAATCTTGGGTGAGAACCTTCTTCCCTCAGCCAGGGCATTGAAAATGGGTGGTGGATGGGTGTTTCCAGCATGACAATGACCCAAAACACACGGCCAAGGCAACAAAGGAGCGGCTCAAGAAGAAGCACATTAAGGTCCTGGAGTGGCCTAGCCAGTCTCCAAACCTTCATCCGATTGAAAATCTGTGGAGGGAGCTGAAAGTTCGAGTTGCCAAACATCAGCCACCAAACCTTAATGACTTGGAGAGGATCTGCCAAGAGGAGTGGGCCAAAATCCCTCCTGAGATGTGTGCGAACCTGGGGGCCAACTCCAGGAAACGTCTGACCTCTGTGATTGCCAACAAGGGATTGGCCACCAAGTACTAAGTCGTGTTTTGTGAAGGGGATCAAATCCTTCTTTCCCTCATGAACATGCAGATCCGTCATCATTTGTTAGACGCATTTCTGCTGAATTTGTTGTTGTATTCTGTCTCTCAGTGTTACACCGAACATTCCATTGTTAGACCGATCATTTCTGTGTGTGAGGGGCGAACATTCCATTGTTAGACCGATCATTTCTGTGTGAGGGGCGAACATTCCATTGTTAGACCGATCATTTCTGTGTGAGGGGGGAACATTCCATTGTTAGACCGATCATTTCTGTGTGAGGGGCGAACATTCCATTGTTAGACCGATCATTTCTGTGTGAGGGGCGATCATTCAGCATCAGCAGGGGAGCAAATACGCATTTCCTGCACTGTATAGGATCCAGCGGGGGAGGGATGGTAATGGTTGGGTCAGACTAGGAAACCCATGAGCAGAGATCTGGCCAATCGAGAGAGAAGAACCTATCTGGTGATCTATCCCTCCAGCTGAAGGTCCAATTTACACAGACTGACCTTAATCTCGATTGGTGCTTTCAGAGAGCCAATCAGGACTGGGCGTACACTGTGCTGCTAGTGACAGGGTTGTATGTACATACCATAATGACTCCGGTGATGTGACGTCATCAAGCCTGACATCTGCCTGGCCTCCCCCCTGTGGCGCCACCTATCTATAGCTGTGTTTGTGCTGGAGGTGCGCTCCAATGTGTGCACCCCCCACCCCCCCAACATGGAAACTGAGCTGTCACCGACAGTACTAATGATCACCAATCAGGAGGGTCTTGATCACATGACTGTTGTGATTGGCTCTCACATTGATCGCTAGCTGTAGAGCCCACCACTGAAACTCCTCCCCTCTGAATACAGAAAGATACATTGTATGCTGGAGGAGAAGAATGGAAACAAATGAATAAAGATGTAATGGTGGGATTGGGGGCGATTAGATTGGGGCTCGATTTTAATGAGTTATGGGGCTCATTCACACTAACGGTTGAGGGGCGGTAAAACCCTTTGGTTGAGCTGCATTTAGCCCCCCCCCCCCCCCACAACTGCTGTCCTTTTACCTTCAGAGGCAGTGGCCGGGGGTGTACACATTGTGATTGCGGCAGGAATGATGTCGCTCTCAGTAGGCGTAGCACCTTTTCACGTGAATGAGGCTCTTCTGCAAGCTCCCAGCAGTGCATTGTATGCAGGAAGGTATAAAATAAAACCTGTGTGCAGCAGCCCGCCCCCAATACTCACCCGAGCCCCTTCTTGCTCCAGGGTGGTGTATGAGAGCAGACCTTCTCCCGGGTCTCTCGTTTCCCATTGGGCTGTTCAGAAGCAGGAGCCATTGGCTGTCAGTCACACTAGTGAGTTAATGAGATATGGGGGGGGGAGCAGAGTATTATGGATGAATAGAACAGCGACTCGGGAGCAAGAACACACCAGTGCCCGCAGAACAAGCAGCATGCTGTGGGGTCACTGGCTGAGGAGGAGGAGCCAGGAGCGGGGGTGGGCCCAAGAGGAGGAGGACTGAGGCCACTCTGTGCAAAAGCAATACAGAGCAGGGAAGCATGACATGTGACACGAACCTTTACTACTCACACATCGAAAACTCACACCGACACCAAAGAAACACGAGCTCAGCAACCTAACACTACAGAAAGGGCTCCTACAGGTATAAATGGGCTCCTACAGGTATAAATGGGCCCCGACAGGTATAAATGGGCCCCGAGTGGTCCGGGTGGAAACCATCATGAATTGGATGCAAATCTTCCATATGGAGAGGTTCTGGCCTCAGCGAGTTCTTTCTGTGATTTCTCTTTGATGAAAAATGGACTTCAGCTGGTATAAAAAGTGCCGAAAGTGACCTATAGCGCAGCACTTTGTGGCCCCTACCAGTACCGTTAGTCTTCATATAGGTCCCTATGGATCCCGAGGCCATATTATACGTAGGACCTCGACTTCTCTCCAAGTCTACATAAGGCCCCCCCCGCCCCTTCTGATGCCAATCCTTTTGCTATTCACCTATCAAATGCCGGAGGCTCCTGCTGTAGAGGTTCTGGAATGTGATCGTTGAGTGACGTGGTGGGGTTTGGCATCAGTGGGTGGAGCTTCAAGTAGATTGTTTCATGGGATGCAAAGGTCCAGTTGGACATTGACACCGGTTCTTCTAGGACCCCTGAAGTTCTGCACGTCGCCCCGTTCTCCCCCTTTTGGCATTTTTTAGACCAGGTCAGGTTCAGTGATCACCGAATGTTGTTTCTTGTTCCCTCACAGATGATCTTACATGATCCATGCCTCTATAATCCGCAATAGAGATCACTAATGTAGATTGGTCAGAAGCCTACTTAAAGGAGCAGTCCACCCAAAAGTCAGGTTTCAATAATTGTCTAAATAGTAGGAACCTCTTCCTGCCCCTGTGTATCGCCAGGGAACCACATGGGAAATAAATGTATCCCATAATATCAAGATCACCTTTTAGATCCCAATGTCCACTCCGAGCTAAGCCTCACCCACCGAGGAACAGAGGAGCTGGTGGATGAGGGTGGTTGGTAGAGGGCAGAGTTTAGTTCCTCAGAGGCGGGGCAGGAGTTGAGGCATTTTAGGGCAGGGTTTGATGTGAATGCTCTACACAGGGGTGTCCAAACTATGGCCCTCCAGGTTTTTGAGGAACTGCAAGTCCCATGAGGCCTTCCAAGACTCTAAACATCCACAGGCAAGACACCCAGAGACTTGATGGGACTTGTAGTACTTCAACAGCTGGGGGCCATAGTTTGGACACCCGTGCTCTTCAGACAGATTCATTAGAATATCCTAAATGTAGAAGTCAACCACGCATGGTCCTTCTATTGTCCGTCACAAAGGCCCTGTCTGTGCTCCCCTCTGATCTTGGGGTCTCAGCTTGACTTGACAGGTGAACGTCCTCCAACAGCATTCAACTGTCTAATGGGCACAGCTTTGTTGGCCAATAATAAGATCTCATCAACACTTTTCACCTTTGATCAATAGGAGGCGCTCTCATTAGACGGGGTTTGGCTGGACTTTACCTGGAAATTAGGGGAAATCGAGCCGCATTTCCAATATCCAGACCATCAGGGAGGCTCAGAATGGCTCTGTAAGTGGGGGTGCAAAGATCTCTGCCTCGCCTCTGGGTGTCCTGGCAGATAGTTGGA